TGGTCTCTGGGGCAGGCAGGGCAGGGTGGGTGGCAGGAGGGGGGCTGTGGGTTCGGGGGAGGGGGGTGGGGGGTTCTGGAGTTGGGGGGGGTGGCAGGAGGGGGACAGCCGGTCTGGGGGGGGATCCCAGGGTGGTGCCGGTTCCTGGGGCAGGCAGAGGAGGGGCAGGGTGGGTGGCGGGAGAGGGGCAGCTGGCCCCGGGGGAGGGGGGCCGGTCTGGGCGCACCGTGACCCCCACTCTCGGCAGGTGATCCGCCCCGAGTCCTGCTCCGTCTGTGGCGCCCGTGCCCGGTTTGGGCGGGTGGTGCTGCGGTGCCGGCGCTGCCGCCTGCTGCTGCACCCCGAGTGCCGCGGGCGCTGCCCCAGCCTGTGCACCCCGGGCCCCCGGCCCCACCCCCAGGAGGTGAGTACCGGGGGAGCACGGGGGGGGACTGGCAGGGGGTCCCTGTCCCGTCCTCTCCCTCACCCTGTCCCCTCCCGCAGGGTGTCCTGGCCGACTTTGCGCCCCCCGCGGCCCCCCTGGTGCCCGCCCTGGTGCTGCACTGCGTGAGCGAGGTGGAGCGCAGGGGCCTGACGGAGGTAGGAGGGAGGGGAGCTCGGGGGGGGCTGGCGGGGGGGGGGGGGGGGGCGCCGGTGGGGGGGGGGGGCCCCCCCCCCCCCCCCCCCCCCCCAGACAGGGCTGTACCGGGTGCCCGGCGCGGAGCCGCTGGTGCGGGAGTGGAAGCAGAAGCTGCTGCGGGCCAAGGGGGCGCTGCCCACGCTGAGCCACGTGGGCGACGTGCACGTGGTGTGTGGGGTGCTGAAGGACTTCCTGAGGGGCCTCAAGGAGCCGCTGGTCACCTTCCACCTGCACCCCACCTTCCTGCGGGCTGCCGGTGAGCGGGCGGTGCCGGGAGGGTGGGGGGGGCGGGGGGCGGGGCCGGCGGCGGGGCTGGGGCTGGGTTCTGCGGGTTGGTGTGGGGCTGGAGTGCTGTGTGCGGGAGGGAGGGGGCTGGGGGCAGGGCCTGGGAGGTGTGTGCAGGGTGGGGCAGGGGGCGGGGCCAGGGAGGTGGGGACAGGGTAGGGCAGGGGGCAGGGCTGTGGGTTGGGGCGGGGCCAGGGGGCGGGACCTGTGGGTTTTGGGTGGACCCCCCCACGGGGCCAGGGAGGTGCTGGGAGTCTCTTGGGGGACCAGGGACTCCTGGCTCGGAGGCAAGTGCCCCGACCCACAGCCTGGGCATGGTGTATCCGTGGGGCCTTTCCGAACACCCGAGGGCCCGACTGGACCCGCTGCCCCGGCTCTGCCCCACCAGTTCTGAGCTGCTCCTGTGCTGGTGCCGTGGGGCAGCGTTGGGCTGGGGGGGGCGGCTGAGGACCCATGTCCCCCCTCCCCATGACCACAGCTCCTGGCTCTGCCCCAGACATCCCGGACGAGGCCGCCTGCCAGGCAGCCCTGTGCCACGTGGTGAGCAAACTGCCCCCCGCCAACCGGGACACACTGGCCTTCCTCATGCTGCACCTCCTGAGGTGAGGGCAGGGGGGGCCTGGGGGGCCCCGGGGGGGGCCCGGGGGGCCCGGGGGGGGTGGAGCACATGGCCTGGGGGGGAGGAGGGGGCCTTGGGAAAGGTTCCCCCAACCTGTGGGTTCGGCACGGTTGCCCATTAGGCTCCGTGACATGTGAGTGCCCCCCCATGAGCTGGGGTCCCGAGGGCAGGAGGGGCCTGGGGCCTGGTGGGGCTCCGGCGGCCGTGGGGCAGCAGTTCCGCTTGGTGACTGTCCAGGCTGAGCGGGTGTCAGAGCTGATCCCCTGGGTGGGGTCCCGTGTGGCTCGGGGTCCCTCTGTTCCCAGGGCCTGGCTCTGGGAGCGAACGTGGGTCTGTCCCTGTCTCTCTGCTGGCTGCCCCACTGCCCTCTCTGGGCCTGTCTCCTGGGGTCGTTCTGCCCAGACCCCTGTCCGCGATTGGGGTTTCCTGGCAGGGTCTAGCGGGTCGAGCGTTGTTCGCTTTGCCCAGGGGGCCCTGCCCTGCCCCCCGAGTCGGGCT